CATGAAATCCCAGTGCAATCTTAAATCCTTTCAATAAGAGAAGGAGGCATCAACAGATGCTAAACCAGTCAAGCCCTTCCAAGTGTGCTTTCTACAACTGATAGGGCTTCTTATGGATTCTCCGGAGTGGAGCCAGGGCTCTAGTTTGGTCAGGGAAAAGCTGTCCATGCCACTCATCCACAATGGCTCAGAGCAGAGACGTGGCTACTAGCTGTGTTGACATGCTCTGGGTGAGGTAAAGATCATTAGCTAAGCCATGTCTGCTCTGGTATCATGCTTGTCATGGTTATTGTGTCACTGTGACCTGCTCTGCCCTCAGGAAGCCCATGAGAGCCTCCTGACGTAGTCCTGCCCAGCCTTCTGCAATTTGTGGCAGAGGGCCTGTGTCCCAAATCCCTGCCAGATGTTGGTCAACAACAAAAGGCAGGTTTCACAGGGAAGTTTAGGACATCAAAACTTGGATTTTGTTCTCTTCCAGCATGAAAACCGTGAACATTTACAAATCTTCTGTGAAACGTGTTTTTAAAAGAAAGTTTTGTTGGGGCAGGACTGAGTCACAATCCTTTTCCTCTGTAACAGCAATGGCATGCAAAATAAAAAACCCGGGCAGAGACATTCATTTTGAAAGGCACAACGAACGTTTTACTGCCTGAACATCCCTAACTGAAACTCCAGGAGAACTGACCCACCAGGGCAGAGCCATCTGGTTTCAAAGGAATGGCATTTTCTGATTAAAATGTTTGGTTTACTCTTTCCTCACCAGTTCTGCTCATTTACAACCACACGAGGTCAGAGAATTGATGGAGGGAGACTGACAGGGCCTCCCACTTTCCTGAACCAACAGAGGCAAGAGGGAATTAAAAAGGAGTGTCCTGCTTGGACTAAACCTGTGCTGTGCTGTGTCAGCGGGAGTGTGTGTATGTATGTGCATCCTTCTCTGTAAAATACTGATTGCATTCATGGACCTTGCGCCTTTTTTTTTTTTTTTTTTTTGAGTTGTTGTTGGTTTGGTTCCACCTCTGGCACTGAGAGTCCTGGTAAAGAAGGTCCTGGATCTTGTTCTCATCTCAGCAGTAGAGACACACTGTTGACGTGTTAGCAAATTCAAGTCTTTCAGAGGCTGGGCGCATGTCAGAGGGCTAAATGCAACGATTAGATTAAAAGGTACAAAGAAAGTGAGATTTCAGGAGGAAAAATGTATGTGAGACTACCAGAAAGGCAGAGGTGAGGCACTGCATGGAGGTGAGGCTCTCGGGATCAACTGGTTGGAGAGGGAGCAGGGAGGATGGTGCCTAGCTACATCTCACTGCCACAGGCTGTAGGACACACTCCAGCAGCTGGGCTACTTTGTCCTATGTTTCTTGGCTATGAAGAAAGGGCACAAGGCCATACAGCTCCAGTGTGAGCTACTGACCCAAATCATGAATTCTGTGCACACTTCCTAGAGTGGGTTTGCACAAAGACTCAAAGAGGGCATCACAGGAATGAAATGAAAGATTAGAGTTGAGGCTAGTTTTGCCTAAAATACATCAGGTCCTGACCTTGGCATCATCATCCAGCTTAGTCTGAAACCTCGAAACAGCTACTTCCTTTCCTCTGCTTTTTGTCCGCTTTCTGTGACAGTCCCTGTTCCAAGGAGTTAGGTCTGTATCCTGTGGCAGCGCTCCTTAGGCTCTTCTCTGAGGATCACAAAGTCAGCCAGAATTTCCATATCTGCCATTAATGTGAAGGATTTTTACACATACATTTGCAAAACGACTACCAGATTTCTCCTCTGTAACATTAAAAATTCAAGTGTAGGCAGAAGTCTTAAACTTTTACTGTCGATAGCTTACACACTTCCCCTAAGAATGTGAGGTGAGATGTGACAGCAGGTAAACACACTCATAAAGGTCTGAAGACAGGAAGATGCAGACAGGAAGTGAGACAAAACCCTGCATCTTCTCTGTTCAACAGGAAAGAGAGGACTGAAATGCCACCCAGGTTGTTTTTTTTTTTTTCTTTAAACCTTACTTCATGTTTCCTGAAGTTCAACACTTAAAGCAGACAGCAAGTCACAGGGATGGGTTTTTCACGTCTTTATTTACTAAGGTTTTTATTGTGTGTTTTATATTGCAAACCCCACCCCTAGAACTCTTCCCTCCCTTCCCCCCAAAATAAAACAAAAAATAACAATAATAATTAATATAATTCCACCTACTGAGACAAGCCTAGAGTTGACTGGGGTCCAGTCAGAGTAACTCAATATTGGCTACTGCACTGCTAAGAACTGGAAAGTCAAACAATATCCCTGTGAAAAACAAAGCAAAGGAACCCAACCAAAGAAGGATGTTCACTAGACTGGTGGATGGAACGCATGTCTACCAGAGACAGCCCTCGGGGTGTTTCTGTGCACCTCCGTTTGTCTGAGTGTCCACAGGGGTTGTTGAGATTCAAGTACCAATGCAGCAGTCACAGGACAGTCATCCATGAGGGCTTGGCACTGCTGGGCTGAGGACCTTTCCTACTTGCTTACATTAGATACCCCAGACCCGAACAGCTTAGCTCCCAACCTCTTGAGATGCTCATTCTAGAGGCCCTTTAGCATATGGGGAAAAAGATTGCTAAAACAATTATAAAACTTAAAAGGATATTGTGACTCTTCCTTCTAGGAACTGCCTCATGCCTTTGAAAATATGAGAGGGTCTGTGAGTCTGCTTCAATTCCGTCAACTGATTCTGTTTCAACATGAACCTGTACATATTTGGAAAAGCAGGATCTATATATTATAATTATCACTTGCCAATCAGTCATACAGGAGGGTCAAAATTGACATGTATCTTAAAACTAGGATATATATATATAAATATATGTGTGTGTGTGCGTGCGTGCTTACACATGTGCATAAATAGACTACATATGTGTATAACTATACTATATATATAAAAGCATGTGTGTATATATAGATACATATATAAATTCTATACACACACACACACACACACACATGCATCCCTCCCACCACACACACTCACACATATATAGTTGTATGTAGCTAGTAGAAAAAACATTCCTAGAGTTCCCCTGACCCTTTAAGGAAGACCAAAGCTGATTACATCTGAATTCTGAGCCACCAAAGCATGTTGAAGCAGGAGTGCCCAGTAGTGCTTGCAGCAACATTCAAGATACAGGCACGTCAAGAGTTTTGCAAACAATTCGGTATAAAAAACCAACTGTCAGACAGTGTTTTGGGAGAGACTTGGGGTGGGAGGAGGTAAGAGAGGGGGTTATATGGACCTGTATCATTACTGTGATAATGGTAAATTTTTTGGCACTGCTGCATGAAGTCCTGCTTTCCCTCTGGGGCTCAAAGGGCCCCGTGATAGCTGGAAACAGAGAGAGGCTGGCCATGTGTTTCTAACGTGTTAGAAAAATTGAGCACCTGACTCTTTTACAGTGAGGTGGCTGGAGACACCTCCTGGCCTACGGAAAAAAACAACAAAAAAAAAGGAACAAAGTAAAACAGAAGGAGACATTTGCTCTAGAGGTAAAGGCTGTACCTTCTCAGTGCTGTGTGCACCCAATGGCCCCTTACTGTCTTCATTCCACTTTGACTGCCTCGTATCAAGAGAGCCTGAAAAAATCCAGTTCAAGGTGCCTGCCAGGCCCCAGATGTGTCCAGTGATGCTGCAACTGCAGGGCAAGACCAAAGCCAATCAGGTGCAGGCTGTTATTGCTGGTGAAATCAAGCGAACGATTTCAATTCCTCCATCAGAGGAGAAGCATGGACCATGGCTGGCCAAACTTCTGATCTAATCTGGTTTAATGGTATAAACGTAGTTGCAAATCTGGAGGATTCTTGGCTGGGCACCAATATTACCCTCGGTGCCTGAAAGCTCAAACTCCCCTGGGCTAAGAAGAGGGCTGGGGTGACCACGCCCCACTTTTCAATCTCATTCTACTGAGTTCTCTTCAAAGCAGTCAGCCCATGGACACTGAGACATTAACGCGAGAGAGGGAAGGTTAAAGTGCTGCCTCCTTCTTCATCCCTTCCTTTGCTCTGCACACCCCAACCTGCAAGGAGGCACACATGCTTTTCCAACTGTGGAGAGGTTGAAGCTTGGGCTATTCTGGCTGAAGCCAGCTGCCTGGTGTGCTGGCAGAGACACAGGACTTCTCCCACAACCCACATCCACACTGCCTACAAAAACACAGAGGGGATATTCACTGCCCTCCCTGTGACTTACAAGGGATTGTTTCTTGTTCCCACTACAGCATCAGTGGAGTAAGAGACAAGCATCTGAAGTCAGGCCCATCCAACTCCTGGTCACCTTTGTCATCTTCAGACAGAATCCAAACAAAAACTTAGCCCTTCTGAAATCCCTAGTGGGGACTGCATTGATGAAACTCATCCCTCTTGCTTCCTCTGCAACCTGCTGATCACAGAAAACCTGGGAGCAAGTGAAGCTTTCCGATGGATGCAGTGAGCCATCCAGTTTCCCCCATATCTAGGTTCTGCAGGCCAGGTTCCCAGCTGGTGCAAAGCACTGCAAAGCTGAGGCCAACCAGAGCTGTTCCAAAAACACCAGCTACAGGCCTGACCTGATGTTCCCTTTTATGGCCCATGTCAACCTCGGATCTTTGTCTCAACAGGAAAACCCTTTTTGGTGGCTTCTATGGCTGATCATTCATATGTTCCAGCTCCGGCACACACCTTGTCTGTGCATTACCTCGTTGGATTAAATTTGCTCATATCCTTTTGTTCCATGTATTAAAATATTCTATAAAATCAAGTGACCAAAAATCTATAGCTCTAAGAATACCTGGTTATCTTCTTTTTTTGTTGTTGTTTTTCATGTGTTTTTTGTTAGTTTCTAATCACAATTAAACCTAAACAAAAGAAATGGAGAAAAGGGTGGGTGGGGGGGGGGAGGGAGAAAGAAAAGGAAAAAAATTATTCATGAAAGTCTAATCAGGAACTGAATTGCACAGCTGACATAACCAGCTCTCAGAAGGAGTCCTCACAAATTGGAGGGCAGTTTGGATCTGACAGGTTCCAGATCCCCTGTGAGCACTATGGATTCTTTCCGCCCACCAGCAGTCAGAGAAGCAGCGCCTGCAGCACTGGCCCCAAACACCAGCGGATGTGGTAAAGAACCTGAGGACATCTGACGTGGTAAAGTCACACGCCCAGGAATTGAGCTACAAGGCTTCCCAAGAAGTCCAGTCCCTCCACCAGGAAAAGGAGAGAAGCTGGAAACAGATTCTCTAGAGGAATGAGGAGAACTTTGGCTCAGTGTCTGAGCCAGCTCTTGGGGCAAAGATGGCTGAGAAGCAGAAATCAACTTGATGTCCTGGCTCAGACGTCCTGGTGGCACAGGCGGCGTGCTCTTGGACTGCAGGATCTGCGGAGGTGGGCTGGCGGTCTGAGGCAGGAGCAGAGAGCCGTGAGAGCCTGAGGCCACAGAAGGGCCACACTGAAAAGTTCTTGTTGCCACTGGGCTCTGACTAGGAGGACTAAGGCCAGAGGGGGTATAAGAGGGGGACACGACACCAGACTGTTGTAGTGGAGACATGGTGGCAAAAGGTGGCCGTTCTTGGTGCAGCTGGGCTATCGTTCCAGTTAAAGATCCTAATGCACTTGGATGCGTTTGGCACAGGCCTGAGGACAGCCCACCAGAGGCCTGTGCCAGCTGGCTTAGGCTGGAGGATGGAGAGTTGGAAGAAGGAGGGGGTTGGAAGTTATTCATTCCCCCCAAAGTCCCACTGCCCGAGAGCTGCTGTAACTGTCCCCCCTGCAGTGGTCTTGTGGTGGGCTGGAACTGGTTGAGAAGACTGGGAGGTGAGTTTGATGAGAGCTGGGTGAGCGATGTTGATGGGGAGCTAGTTGTGGCTTGCTGGAAGTGCCCAAATCCACTGCTGGAAAGGGCTGACTGCTGCTGCTGCATGGGCTGAGCTGTCCCTAGGGGTGATCCAGAAGGTGCTTGTTGGAACTGGCTCAGCCCCACTGAGGATGCACCGCTCAAACCTGGCTGGCTTGAGCCACCTGGAGGGGATCCCACCTGGAACTGGCCTAAGCCGGCGGCAGCCGAGAATCCTGCGAGCTGCTGGATGTGGAAGGAAGAGGATGAAGGGGTTTCTGCTCCTGGTGTATGAAGCTGGGATGGAGTACTGGAGGGAGAGCCAACCGCAGAAGGCCCAGTCGACGGGATTAGAGACTGAAGCCTTTTCAGTTGTCTTGGAGTCTGGTTGGATTGCTGTCCCAAGGAACCCAAGACGGACACCGGAGGACGGAAGATGGCCGTTGGGAGGCGTGGGTGGTGGGTCAGAGCTATAGCGACAGAAGTGGTGGCTGCTGCAGCTTGCAGGGGGGCCTGGATCAGTGGGGGGGGAGGTATGCGCCACCAGCAGCAGCAGCAGCGGCAGCCTGGACATTGTGAGCACAGTGTGCCATCTCTCTGTCGTGCTGCACAATCTGCTGGATGATCTCATTCTCCTGGTAGTTGAAAACACCCGAATTGAGGTCATGCTGGACTTTATGCAGCAGAATGGAATTTTTCTTGCCTGTAGAGAAAGTGAAGAGAGAAAGTGTCATTCTGATATGTCAAAGCATGGAAGGCTTCCTCAAAGCTTCCTTGAATTTTTGGCAGTGTCTCCCTTCCACTGTCATTATGGGATCTGTGTACAGTCTTTGCACTCCAGCACAAGATGGCAAACTTCACATTTTCCGTTTTCTGTTATGATTAACAAACCTCAAGATCCCATAAAAATGTGTCCAACAGGGCACATATTCTTAGTCAGACAGTAAAGTTACTTCTGGTAAGTGCAGCAGACTGGTAGCAAAGCTTATGAATCTGGAAGATTCCCATTTTGCACCTCTTAATCTGAACTTCCATTACAAAAAGAGAATAAATCCAAAAGCTGTGATTTTTTTTGTCTTTGCAAAGGGAAACCTCAAAAACGCAAGTCCAGTGAAGCCTCCTGAGTCTTCAGCTACTTTCCTTCAACTACACCTTTTTTTCATCTGTCTCATGTTACTTGTTCACTCTGGAGTCAAATATGTGGTTTTAGTTGACAGGATATTTCTGTATGTATAAGGGACAGAAGGACTTTACGTGCTGGAAAAGTTCAGCTGACCCAAGTAAAGACCTCAAACATGCTGACCCAGCTGACCCAAGTAAAGACCATCTACCATCTTACTTGGCCGTGCCCTTCCAGCCCCAACTTCAGGGAAATTGCAGGCTAGCAAACGTCATGTTCCAGCTGGACTTCCTAGCCTGCAGCAAAATATTAGCTCAGCGTTTTGCCTTTTCAATGGGCTGGAAAATGTGGCGTAATGAGTTTGTCTGGCCTGAGAGTGCACCTGGCACTGAAGGGATGCATTCTCCTGGACTGAAGGACAGAACCATTCAACGCAGGGGGATGAGATACTGCCAGTGATGCCCTTTCACCAGAGCACAAATACCTTCTCAAAGGAGATGATTTCTGATGTGGACAGGCTCTCCGCATAACAGCTTTCGTATCTCTGTTCTCAGAAGAGCATGCAAATCGGTAACTGTGCCAGCACTGATTTATAAGGAGCTGGTGTATGCTGATTTGAATGATTTTCTTACAAAATTAGTGTAGATTAGATCCCTGTTCTTGCATTTTCAAGGGTCCTCTATCCTGACAACACACGCCAGTTTGAACTGATGACAGCACCTGCCTATGGGCTTCTGCTTCACTTTTGTTTACTGAAGCTGTTCAGATTTGAAGGGTTCAGCTTACTGTGTGTGTGTGTGTGTGTCTATGTGTGAGCATGTGCATACCTGGCCTCCTGTCTGCATGCCTGTACACTGCTCATTTTGTAGCTGAAGCTCAGGAGTGTGTAGACAGGTCACCTCTAGATGAGGCACCAGCCAGCTTGGATCAGATCAAAAGCTGTATTAACTCTCCTCCCGAACCAAATGTACCTCAGGCCCGCACCCATTAGCAAACCTCTGCTCTGATTCAAATGCAATTTCTGCTGGTTCCTGTCTGATCACTTCCAGTTCCTGTACAAGACTGGGGCAAGCAGACAGCATCTTGCCAATTGCTGCGGATTTACAGTGCGTGAGATAGCGGTAGGTAGGGAATGGAGGCCTGGATGTGGAAGGGCCTTTTTTCCTGCATTTTAACCCCCAAATCATGTCATGTTTTAAGAATTAAAGGCTAGTAGAACAGCTCGTGTCAATTAAGTTTCCTGCAAACAAGGGTTTGTCTAATAAACTTGTCTCCCCACTTTCATGAAATCACAGCTTTCAAGGTAAGTCAACCATTGATATTATCAGCTAAGGCCACAATATGGTGTTTAATTTGTCCCATACAGCATTCTAGTTTAAACTGGTCAGCTGATAGTTTCCAAGAAAGAACGGTTAAGAGTGAAATGCCATGTTGGGTAGTAGTTCCCAGTGAGATTCCAGAGGAATTTCCTTTCAATCCTATGACAGTCAGATCTCAGATCTTTCTGTACAAATTTCAATACATCTCTGTGCATAAAGGACATCCAGATTGTTGGTGCTTTTTTTACTCTATGGTGTGTCTTTTATATCTGTAACAGATAAAAGAGTCAGAGTTTAAGGACATGCCTCTTCCTTTAGCCAAATATAAACTCAAACGTCTGACAGCAAAGAACTTGAAGAGGGTAGCTGCTATCTTGGTGCCCTAAAAAGTAAGTCTGTAATGGTAGAGTCTTGAATATAACTAGCTGAGTTCCAAATCTGTCACCAGAAGAAGGTGAAACAATTGTTGCACAAATAAGAAGGAAATTAGAAAGTATAAGAGAGACAATAGTCACCAAGACATAAAACGCTAGGAAGGCATACAGTATGATGCCTTAGTTCCAGTGTCTAGCATGAAAAGGTACAGAAAATACCCACAAGAATCAGGCTTGAAAAATATCAGTGAATAAGTACAATGTATTCAGCTTCTCTCAGAGAGGTGACTTGATACTGATGTACAGGAAACTTCACAGATGAAGGAAGTTGCTAAGAATCATTCTCTTCAGTTCCAGAAGGACCCACAAGATACTGTGATTTTAGACAACCCCAGAAAAAAAAAATGGAGCAATCTAACTGTAATTGTAGTTAAGCATTGGAAGAACACACTAAGGGCTTTTCATTCACTGTACTTTTGAAAATCAAGCATTTATCTCTTTATAAAGGATGAGGTGTGGCTCTAGCAACTGAGTGCCATGCAACAGTGCTATGCAATTGTTCAGAGTGGGTAAAGCTTGCAATCTACAGAGGGCTGACCTGCACTGTAAACCCAAACCACTCAAACGCTGACAAGAGTTTTGATTCTGGATCTGCAACTGGTGCATTTGAGACACGTCTTTTGTGGGTAGTGCTATGGGATGCTTAATGCTTTTGTTTTATCTACTGCTAATGTCTCCCTCCAAAAAAAGCAGTAAGGCATATGGACTGGCCTGCCTTTTCTCTCTTTGGAAAAGACACCAGCCCTAGAAGGACACTGTTACGGAGGTGAACAGTGTTGTGAGCTGCTGATGTCATTACAGGGCCTGGAGAGCTTGTCTGCACTGGAAGTGTGTGTGTAGGATATGTGGATAATGCCCGTTTCATTGTGTACCAGGCTGGAATAGAAGCACCAGACTTGCCCTGAACAGACAGATCCTGGTTCTACCTACTGTTCATGCAGCCAGGCACACCAGAGGAAGCATGAATGTCACCTTTAAACCTAAGAGCATTTTTGCAGTGAGCACACAGTAAATGGTGCAGAGGGTCATATTGCACACACACACAGAGTAACTTCCACGTGGTGTCTACTAGAATCACATACGTGCTCACAAATTAGATCACAAAGAGCTACTCAAACAGAAATGCTAATTGCTTCAAGTCTGGAGAGAAGGAACAACCTGTCTAAATAAAATTGACAGGCAAGACAGAATCTGGCCAGCACTCCTGAGTTAAAGAGGGATTCAGACTGCAGGTTTGTGATCATTCTCTTTCTGGAGTTGAAGGTACAAATCCCAGCATGGGGAATCCGTAGCTATGTCACACAACTGTGAGGTCAGGATGTGGATGGGAGATGCATGCTGAGCTCAAAGCAGACAGGCAAAAAAGCCACTTTACCACATTTGCTTTCTTGAAAACAGACCGTAGCAAAACCAGGCTAAGGAGGAAAGGCTAGGGGTGGAAGAAGGAGAAACAGCAGATGTTGCTTGTGCAGCTTTCCAAAAAGCTCAATACCAGCAACTGCTCTGTGTTTTCGTCATTACACCTCATCTCACTCTTTTAATTCCATGTCACCTGTCTTTGGCTTCTGATTTGCTTGTCTGTGCTTGAATAGCCTGCAATTTCCAATGCTGCCCTCAATTCAAATGAGAACCCACAGCGATGTTAATGAGAGCTGCACAGATGAATTGAGGGGACTGATGTTTTCATAACCAGAGCTCTTGATGACACAGAAAGAGCTGAAAAGCACACTCTGGTTTCCTTGACAGAACACTAAATAGAGACTATGCTAACATTTTCCAAACATGCATGCTATTTACTGGAAGTGGTTTGATCAAAGATTCTTAAATTTGTGTGAAATTGATAAAATAATTCCAACAAAAACCTTGGAATGACTATTTTTGTTAGTTTTTAAAACAGAACATTTTCATTTTCATTTGAAATTACATTACATTTCATATTTTCCTGCACCCTGCTTGAATCTATCAACTGTTTCATTAGATCATTTTTTTCTTTACTGTTTTGCCAAGAAAGTCTCAACTTTCTGCTCCAGAACGTTTAAAAAAAATTATTGAAAACATTCTTTCAATTATTGAAGGGGAGAGGAATTTTTCAAAATTATAATTGGTTAGCAAACTAAAAAATTAATTGGTTCCCCCATTCTAATTAATTGCATTGTTTACATGATTTTCCAAACACCAATATAAGTTTTACTAGTTGCTTCTGGAGAAAATCTTCCTTCTAAGCAGCACCAGGTGAGAACAGGCACACAGCAAAGCCCTGCTGGGACACTGACATTTTCCTGGCAGGTCTAAGGCCCTGCATGAAAAATAAGCCAACACTGGAACAAGGCAGTAGGAGTAAGTTTGCTTGAGCCAGTGGTTCTGAGATTATCTCTCCCCCTCATCTTATTTATGAAATTGTTTCAGTTTCAAATTCATTTTTCTTGCTCTGGATTTTTTGTCACAGCACCTGCCTCAAAAGGAGGGCAAAAATGACAGCAATCAAAGGACTGAAAGGCTGATTAGTTTGGCTCTGTGTAACCTTAATTGAAATGATATTCTGCAGCTCAAAGCTACACTCAGTGAACCGCAGTAGAGTCCTGTGCTCTTGCTAAGGCACTGAAAACCTTCATTAGGAGAAAGCAAAAGGGACTCCTGTTTCCTCTTCAGTCTAATCGCAGAAGCACAGAGGCTGTATGTTACAGAGTTTATCCATGTTGTTTATCCCACATAAACTGAAGTAGTGACCAGAGTCTAAGGTACTAACACAATCCAACCAAGCATTTCTCCTAAACCCAAAAGCACTATACAAATTTACTGAGATGCCACGGAGCTGGCATAAGAGCCATCT